GCTTTAATCTCAGGATCTTTCTTCAGCTATAATGCTCACTTAAATGCTGACTAGTATCAGGAACATTACTGGAAGTAGAGAATAGCATTTGTATTTGGAATTTTGAGAGATCTAGCTGTCCCACTTTGAGAAAGACCTCATCTTCACAACAGTTCTATGAAATAGGAACTACTATAATCTCTAATTTTATGAAAGTCAAATTAAGATTCAGACAAGTTAATTAACTTGCCTAAAGTCACAAATTAGTAGGTGGCAGAGCCAGGATTACCCTGTTTGTCCTCTTGAATAGCAGACAACAGATAAAAGCAGCAATAGGAGATTATAAGACCAGCTGGTGGAGGCAGATAGTAAAGTGACAGCTGGAAGCAAAGCACAAGCAGAAGACAAGCCAGGGAGATGGCTTTTCATCATGCCTAAACAGCACTGAAGACTCAAAGAGACCTAAGGGGTATCTCAACATAACACTTTCAAGCGCTCATTAAAGATAAAAGCTGCCTAATTAGAGAAGACCAAATCTCATACAATTGATCAATTTGTCATTTCCCAACATTTCCAAGGTTATTTTGATTATCAAATGATACACACTGTTTCTCTTCTGGATTCATTGTACTGTAAAAGCACAGAATAATAAAATACATAGAGCAAAAAACCCTGAGGATTAACATTGCATAGCCTATTCTACCACGAGTTAAGGAAACTATTCAAGTTCTACATTTGTCAAGACAAAACCAATGCTAGGTCATTAACTACATATGAAACTCATTTTCTTCATCTGCAAAAGGAAAAGAAGTAAGGTAATAAGCACACGGCAGTGCAGCCAAACTCTAAAGCTGGATTTCAATCTGAGTGTGGTGATGCACACCTATAATCCCAGTACCTCAGGTGGTAGGGGCCAGCATTGGCTACATAATATCCAAAACAGCAGAAACAAGATTAAATCTTGTCATACCCTATTTATTAAGACATGGAAACATTTTTCTCTCTATTAAGACGCTGTGATTAAAAAGTAAACTGGGGCCTGGAGAGATGGCTCAGAGGTTAAGAGCACTGGCTGTTCTTGCAGAAGGCTGGGTTCAGTTCCTAGCACATACATGGCAGCTAACAACTGTCCTTAATTCCTGTTCCAGGGGATCTGGAACCTGCCTTCTGCAGGTATTGTACTACAAAGGGTCACTTATATTACATGCAGGCAAAACACTCATACACATAAAATTAAAACAATATATTAAGAAATAAATTGGCCCAGCAATTAAATGTGCTTGCTAGGGCCTAGCAACCTGAATTCCATCATGAGAACTCATGAAAAGGTGGAAGGAGAGAACTGATTCCACAAAGTTGTCCTCTGACTACCATATGCACTCATACACAAAAACCATGCACATAATATAAAAATTTAATAAAATATAAAAAATTTGCTGGGTGTGGGCATGCCTTTAATCCCAGCACTCAGGAGGCAGAGGCAGACAGATCTCTGTAAGATAGAGGTAGAGGCCAGCCTGGTCTACATAATAAGTTCCAGGTTAGCTGGGGTTACAGGGAGATCCTGTCTCAAAAAAAGACCAAAAAAAAAAAAAAAAAAAAAAGAGGCCTAATAAGGTAAACTTTAATAATCTTAAAAAAAAAAAAAAATCCCTGCTGTGGAATATCTTTTCTTTCTTTATATGTATGTGTGTACATGCATGTTCGTGTGTGTGTGTGTGTGTGTGTGTGTGTGTGCATGTAGGCTGGCTGGCTGGCTAGCACTGAGCCCCAGGGATCTGTCAGTTTCTCATTCTCCTGTGCTGGGATTACAAGCATGCACCACCATGCCAAATTTACTTTATGTGGGTTCTTGGGATCTAAATCAGGTCCTCAAGCATGCAAGGCAAGCACTTAACCAACTGAACGATCTCCCTCACCCTGCAGTGAAACAGTTCATTTGATCTTTTAGTATACTATATTACAAACATTAGGCTGATATATTAAAAGATTGATGTAAGTAAATGAATATGATTCATAATTGTTCTAGAAGTGAACAAAATATTTTATATAAGTTGTAAAATAACTCAGACTGTTGGAGACCAGTTTATTTAAAATGGGCTGATTTAAGTATTTGGTACAAAATATACAGAACAGCAAACAAATAAATCTCTCATCTCAAATAGTAAGTTTTTGCTTACACAAGTTCAACATTTCCTGTCTTTTATTTTTTTTAATTTATTATTTTTATTTTATGTGTATGCGTGTATTGCCTGCATGTAGGTAAGTGCACCCGTGTCGTGCAATGCCCATGGAGGAAAGAAGAAGCTGTCGGATCCCCTGGAACTGGAGTTATGGACATCTGTTAGCTGCCGTGTGGGTGCTGGGATTCGAACCTGGGTCTTCTGCAAGAACAGTCAGTGTTCTTAACTGCTGAGCCATCTCTCCAGGCCCCTCTTTTTTTTTTTTTTTTTTTTTTTTTAGAGAGTCTCATGATGTAGCCTCAGCTGGTCTGGAACTTGCTATGTAGACCAAGATGTCCTTGAACCTGTGACCAATGTTCCCACCTCCGACTCCAGGATGCTGGGATTACGAGCCTATGCCACCAAGCCTAGCTAAACTGAACATCCCTAATGTGAATATCCAAAATGCTTCAAATTCTTATGCTCTTATATGAAGTGTGGGCCAAAACACAAGTGTACTAAACATACTGCATAAAATTACCTCTGGACCATGTGTACAAGGTGTATAGAAAACATCAATAAACTTCAGGTTTTGATCTCAGTACCACCCCCAAGAGCTCTCATTATAGCTACATAAATATTCTAAAAGCCAAAATTTAAGAAATGTAAAACACTTTGATCCCAAGCATTTTGAACAAAGGCTATTCAGTTAGTATACAAGTAAAATAAACTATACTATTTATGTTTCTAAGAAATAATTATTTTATTTACTCCTCCAAATGAACTGTTTTATCAAGACTATGAAATGATTTGTGCTACCATACCAATTCATCATGCTTTTGGGATCTGAATCAGGTCCTCTGAATTAGATCCTAGAGGTAATTCTGAATAATTTCCTAACATATTTACCATGTTTTTTCATTTTGTATGAAAATAATGTGCAACATTTACTGAGGAAGCCAAGCACTGGCCTCAATATTCCACGTGCTTTAGTTTTATCTTTCTTTGTGCAGTGTGTATGTATACATATGTGTATGTAGGTGTGCGTGGAGGCCAGACGAGGAGGTTGGGTGTCCAGCTTATCAATTTATGCCTTGTTCCCTTGAGACAGGGTCTCTCGTATAACCTGGCACTAGGCTGGCAGCCAGCAAGCACCAGTGGTCCTCTTGTCTTGACCCCCATAGCCCTGGGTTACAGGTGCTTGTGTCCATGCTTGGCTTTAGGTGGGGGCTAGTGACTTAAACTCAGTTCTCAATCTTGCATAGTAAGCACTCTTACTCACTGAGCCATCTCAGCCTAGCATCAGCTTCTTTTAATCCCATGAAGTACAAACAATTATCCTTATTTTAGAGATGAGAAAACTGAACAGAAGGTTAAAGTAACTTGCCCAAGGTCACATTAGCTTGTAGGTGGTAAAGGAAGAATTCAACAATTTAGATGAGTAATCTGATCCAATTTGTCCTTTTAACCAAGGTTGTAGTACCCACCTTTCCTATTCTGTGTGGGATTGAACCTAGGACCTCATGATATGCTGGGAAATGCTACAACCCTGTCCTAGTTATACTTTTTTTAGTTTTTGTTGTTTCTGGCTATCCTAGCACTTGCTATGTAGACCAGGTTGGCCTTAAATTTGCAGTCATTCTTGCAGTGAAACGTGCCTTCTCAGTGCTGGAATTACAGGTGTGAGCTACCAAGCCTGGCAGCTGTACTTGAGAACAAAGGAACACATCTTGCACATATCCTGCCAGTTGCTGAGCCTATTTCTCAAGTGGGGGCAGAGTTTCTGCTATAGAGTAAGCAAACAGCTTGTCTATGAAATTTAGTTTTCATTCTATAGAGAGAACCTGTTAGCCTTAGAAATGGGCAAGAAATCACAAGAAACATACTTTTGTTAACTCTCTTAAATGCAGACAACTCTATATAAGTACTTGTATTTTTAGTGGCAGAGAGGTGGCATGGGACATTGCAGAGTAACAGGAATGGGCAGGAATATGGGACATTTAATTTAAAAGTTTCCCATAGAAATAGGTTGAACAAAATGCATTAAAACTAGCTAGAAGGAGAAAAATACTGAGTTCCCATCTAAAGGAAATACCTTTCCAGAACAAATAGGCAACTATAATGTTCTACAGTTAGGTAATCACAATTTTTTTTTTTGGTCTTTTTGAGACAGGGTCTCCCTGTAGCCCCAGCTGTCCTAGAACTCACTATGTAGACCAGGCTGGCCTTGAACTCACAAAGATATGCCTGCCTCTGCCTCCCAAGTGCTGGGATTAAAGGCGTGCGCTACCACGCCCAACTCTTTTTTCATTTTTAAAGATTTTATTTAAATTCTCTATGTGTCTGTGTGGGGGTGTCCATGTGAGTACTGGTGCCCATGATCAGAGGCATCTGGTGTTACAGGCGATTTTAAGCTGCCTGACATGGGTACTGGAACAAACTCGGGTCCCCTGAAAGAGCAGCATGCATTCCTAACCCCTGAGCCATCTCTCCAGCCCTTCTTTTCTTTTTTGTGATAGGTTCTCATGTATTCCAGGCTGGCCTCAATCTTGCTATGTAGAGGAAGATGACCTTGAATTGTGAACCTCCTTATCCCAAGTGTTGGGATTACAGGCATGTGCTACCACACCTGATTTGTGAGGTGCTGAGACTTGAACCCAGGGCCTCTTGCATTCTAGGCAAGCACTCAGGAACAAAGATACACCCCTAGCCCAGGCAATCTCAGATTTCACATAAATACACTAGAGATTAAAGCAGCTAACAGGAGAAAACAACTACATTCACGTGAACATTTCTCTTTTTAACAGAAGTGAAGTTTCTCAATCATATCGTAACAGGCTATTTTACTTTACTACTTACAGTGCACTTTCCATGTCTGCTGTATTTTCTTCCATTTTCTGAGACCACATAGAGGTAAATAAAGTTGTCATGAGATCCTACAGCCAGGAGAGTACCATCTAGAAGTAAAGAGGAAAAAGTGTTGAATGCTGAAGTCTCAATATTTATTGTTGCTTTATTGGCTCTATTATTAAAATGCTGGGCTCAGTTCCCAGCACCTATGTGGTGGCTAACAACCATCCGTAACCCCAATTTCAGCAGATCCAATGCCCTCTTCTAGCCTCCTCTTCAGGCAATGCATGCACATGGTGCACTTACGTGCGGGCAAAACACTCATACACATAAATAAGTACATTAATTAATTTTAAAAACTGTTAAATCTTGCTGGGCATGGTTGAACATGCCATTAATCCCAGTATTCAGGAGGCAAAAGCAGGCAGATCTCTGAGTTCAAGGCCATCCTGATTTATATAACAAGTTCCAGGCTAGCTAGGGCTACACAGTGAGATCCTGTCTCAGAAATAAAATGTCCCTCAATTTAATTGTTGTTTATGGGTAGAAGGAAATATCCTTCATGTGGTCAGCTAAGTGTGTACAGCTGCTTAGTTAGGCAAGCACTCAAGACTTTGCCTTTTATGGGGTAGGTTTTCTTAGGAAGGGTCTATGTCCTCTTATTCTGTGATTTCCTCTATTGTACCTAACCAAATGTCAAAGTTCACTGATCTCTGGATTTTAACTGTTAACATTTTGCAGTGGTTGCTATTATAGCATTAAAAACTAATAAAAACAAAACAGTAAACACTGCTGTTGCAAAATAACTCTTTTAGGGCAGAAGAGATGGCATAGTAGTCAAGACACCTAGCGTTAAACCTGAGGAACTCACATGGTGGAAAGAGAGCTGCCTTCTGTAAGTTGTCCTCTGACTTCTACACATGTGCACACACATAAATGTAAAAACAACTCAGAACAAAAACAGAAATCAGAACAATTGTTTTTAGGATTTATCTTGTAGTGCAGACATTCTTTCCCTTGTTCAGAGAGCAGCATTCTGTGCTTCCTTTGAAACAATCAAAAAGATCCTTTTGATCTTAATCCAACTATTGGAATATATTTTTTTTCTTTCTTTTTTTTAAATTTTTTAAAAATTTATGTATATTAGTGCATTGCCTGCATGTATGTAAGTGCACCCATGTGGTGCTATGCCCAGCAGAGGTCAGAAGAGGGCATCAGATCCCCTGGAACTGGAGTTATGGATGCTACCACCATGTGGGTGCTGGGAATCGAAACTGGGTCCTCTGCAAGAGCAACCTTAACTGCTGAGCCATCTCTCCAGCTGGAATATATTTTCAAGGCTGAGGATGTAGCTCATGACTGAGAGTTTGCCTATCGTGTTCAAGGAGGCCCTGGTTTCAACTGCTAGCATAACAAAAAACAACCAACCCCCAAATTCCAAATATAAGAAATCCCTAATGTGGTGGTGTATGCCTACAATCTCAGCACTTGTGAGAATGAGGAAGGAGGCTTCTAAGTTTCAGGACAATCTGGGTTACAAAGCATGTTTCAGGCCAGTTTGGACAAGACTACGCCTAAAAAACAAAACAAAAAGTCAGACTAACTCTAGGAAAGAATGGTATATATTAAAACCACAAATGACAGAAAAAGGTAATTGGAAAATTATGGAAACAACATTTTGAACAAAGTACAACAAATTACTCAAAGTCAAAGTTATCAAATTCTTATACCACCGAGCTTCATCGTCATCATTTATATCCTCTAAAAGGCTGCTAATTAGACATAATACTCAGCTTAATATCCACTCAAAATTCTAGTATGTGTAGTATATGACTGTACTGCACTTTATTGTTTCCAACTGCAAATGCAATTTTAGTAATTCATTCTAAGTTTATATTTGCTTGATAATTATTATGCTGTTTAATTTTAGTAGATCTTTTACAGGTTTCAGTGGTGGAATTTGATCTGATGTTCAGGGAAACAGTCCATATTTCACAACTTTTGAAAACAGAGAAAAAAGGACTGAGCTTTATCAGAAGTAAAAACACACATTTTCAGTGAGTGCTGCACACAACAGGATGGAGATCAGCAATCGGCCTACCTACTGAGTAGCGCATCACAGAGAGCTGTTCATTCCCATCAGTGTGGATAGAAACTAGATCTCTTGTTTCTGCATCCAGAACAAACCACCTGTTAGGGAATGGAAAATGAAAAAATGCCTCAGATATTTTCATTTTACAGGGAAAAGTCATTGACTTTTTCTACATTTTTTAATATTAAGAAACCTCAGTATTAATCTTTTAAGTATGACAACCTTCTCATTTCTAATCAAGGACGAATTCATTTCTCAAAAATATTTCTAGATACAGCTGGGCATGGTGACATATGCTTTTAATCTGAGTACTTGGGAGGAAGAGGCAGGTGATCCCTGTGAATTCCAGCCTGGTCTACATACTGAGTTCTAGGCCACATAGTTAAACTGTATTTAGAAAAAAAAAAAAGCTGCTAGATACAATATACATAAACACATGGGCCTAGTTATTCTCATTTCTACTTAGGACTTCACTGAGTGCCCAAATATATCTCTGTTAAGTACTGCCTAGACAGAAAAGAAGAGAGGGTCAGTGTTCTTGAAGATTATACCAGAGTTGAAGGAAAGGAAATGAGGCAACTGAAAAAAGAATTATTAAATGGTAATCTCAGGGATGGTCAGCAAACATAACTCACAGAAAGAAATGAATAGCAGCAGGCATAGAAGAACCTTCAGGGAAGGTGCACAGAATGAACACAGAACGAAGTTAGAAGGAGTAACAGCTGTATAGCTAGGAGGCAGGCTGAACTAGGGACATAGTCATGAACGAACCTCAGTCATTTTGTGACCTGTAGGTTACAACTTCTAGGTAGCTAGACTTAAATAACTTTGGTCATCTAATGGTCTCTATATGTGACTACTTGAGTCTAAAGGTCATTCAGTAGGAAACTGGCACAAGAAACACACTTCAGTAGAGCCAATAGTACCCATAGGATGTAGGTTTCTTTTGAGAATGTTAACTCATTAACCAATTTCTATAGCTACCACTGTAAAATCTCACTGGACCAAGAAATGCCAAAGCTGATGCCAAGTGACCTGATTTTTAAAAAAGGACAACTATTACCACAAAGGCTGAACATGCACTCTGAAGAATCTTGAGTGACAGAGCCACTGCATAGGCATCAAGCTTAACTTTTTTGGAGACAAGCTCTCATGAGATAGCCTTGGCTGGCCTGGAACTCACTATGTAGACCAAGCTGGCCTTGAGCACAGAGATCAGCACGCCTCTGCCTCCAGAGTGCTGGGATTTAAAGACATGTATCACCACATCTAGCTTTCAAAAAGTTTTTAAAAAATATTTATTGTGTATGTGTATACCTGAGTGTATATATGTGTACCATGTGTGTGCACATGCCTATAGAGACCAGAAGAAGGTGTAAGATCCTCTGGAACTGTAGTTACAGGAAGTTCTGAACTGCTTGATTTGGGAGCTAGAAACTCAACAGGAGTCCTCTGGATGAGCAGGAAATGCTCTTAAGCTCTGAGCCATACCTCCAGTCCCAAGCTTCTAATTTTTAATAAGCTTATGGAAACTTTACCATGCCCTTATGCATTTAAAAATGATTAATTCTTATTTTGGAAAAGCCCTAACTAATTTTAAGACTGTTTCCAAGTCGCTTTAATCTTCCTAGGAAAACCACATACAATTTTTACTTCTTTGGAAACTCCCTTAGAAAGTACGAAAACCCCAGAAAATGTTTGTATGTGTGGAAACCTACACTATTATAGACAGTTGCTATTTAAAAAGGAAATACAAACCCTTGTGTATTTTTCAATTTCTTTAATTACCTAATTGAGATGAATTCTTCTAGTTTAGCAAATAATTTCATTTATTTAGTTTCATTTTCCATGTGTTTGTGGAGTACATGTGTTTACATGTTGACATGTGGTGTCTTCCTCAACCATTCTCCACTGTATTTCCTGAGGCAGTCTTCAATGAATCTGGAGCTTGCAGATTCAGCTACTCTAGCTACCCAGCTGGCCCTAGGAATCCATCTCCACCTCCTCAGCACTGGATTACAGGCCACTCTACACCTGCCTGGCTTTTACATGGGTTCTGGGGAATTCAAATTCCAGTCATTACACTTGTGTAGCAAGAGCTTTATCCATGAAGTTACCTCCCCAGCCTGACAAATATTTTAAAATTTATTTTATTTTCAACTTTGTGTATATCTGTGTGGGGGTATGTGCATGTGAGTGCAGGTACTCTAGGAAGCCAGAGGTGTCAGATACTCTGAAGCTGGAGTTACAGACAGTTTTAAGCTGCCTAATGTGGGTGCTGGGAATCAAACTCAGGTCCTCTGCAAGAATAGTACATGCTATTAACTGCTGAGTCATCTCTCTAGCCTCTCAGCAAATAAATTTTTTTTTATTTGTTTTTTAACGTGTATGAGTGTTTTGCCTGCATGTATATGTAAGTGTAATACATGCATGCAATGCCTGCAGAGGCCAGAAGAGGGCATCAGATACCCTGGAACTGGAGTTACAGATGACAGGTAGCCACCATTTGGGTGCTGGGAAGTGAACCCAGGTCCTCTACAAGAGTAGCCAGTGCTCTTAACCACTGAACCATCTCTCCAACCCCAAAATGATTTTTAGTAATAATTCGATGATTTGCTAAAATAGCCTACAACTTCCCTATGCATGCTCAGAAAGAATTTATGAGTTCTTATCCTTTTCACTTTATAGACTATGTTCTACTTTCACAAAAAAAGGGTTCTAGGCTCATGATCTCTGTTCTTTGCACTTTTAGACTGTGTTTAATCATATTCTCATCCTAGAGTCTATGTATTAGGATGAAGCTTCTGTTTTGGGGTATTGCACAATCACTGTGGGGCTCTATATGGCCTAAAGGATCTAATGGACTTTTCTAAATGTAATGGCTATCAGAGATGGGGACATCTCTAGTTCTATATTAAGTTGAACTGTGAGTCAAATATCAAAGTGTAGTACCATCACTTGTTTTGATCGCCATCACTTTTTTTTTTTGCAAAGGGTCTCATGTAACCCAGGATGGCTTTGAACTTGTTATACGGCCAGGACTGACTTTGAACTCCTGATCCTCCTACCTTCACCTCCCAAGTGCCAGGATTACAGGTATGTGCCACCATGCCTGGATATCCTGATGACTTTTGAAACAGACTACACTGATTTCTCTCTTTTTTTTTAAATTTTTATTTTATGTGTATGCGTGTATTGCCTGCATGTATACTGTGCACCTGTGTCATGCAATACCCTCGGAGGTCAGAAGAGGATGTTGGATCCCCTGGAACTGGAGTTATGGATAGCTGTTAGCTGCCATGTGGGTGCTGGCATTCAAATCCGGGTCTTCTGCAAGACCAGTCAGTGCTCTTAACCGCTGAGCCATCTCTCCAGTCCTATACTGATTTCTTTAATGACAAAAACCAAAACCAAAACCAAACCAAACCTCCACAAAAACCAAAACAAAGATTTGAGAGCTAGAAAGTTCTTTGAAGCCCCTAAATAAATGTATCTCTGTTCATAATGTTGAGTTAAAAGAGGTGGCACACGCCTTTAATCCCAGCACTCAGGAGGCAAAGGCTGGTGGACCTCTGTGAGTTCCAGGCCAGCCTGGTTTACATAGTGAGTCACAGGTGAGCTGGAGCTACCGGGAGACCTTGTCTCAATAAGACCCCCCCCCAAAAAAAGTGCCGAGCATGATGGTGCATGCCTGTAGTCCCAAGCACTTGGGAGGCAGAGGCAGGAGGATCTCTGTGAGTTCAAGGCCAGCCTGGTCTACATAGTGAGTTCCAGGACAGCTGGAGCTACAGGGAGACTCTATCTCAAAAAAAAAACAAAAGTATAAGAATAGTTTATTGATGCAGTGTGCCTTATGGTACTGCTTCTTTATGACCCTTATAAAGATGGAAATGCTGGGACTGGAGAGATGGCTCAGTGGTTAAGAGTACTTGCTGCTCTTCCAGAGGACCTGAGTTAAGTTACCAGCATTCATGTTAGACAGTTCACAACTGCTTGTACTCCAGGAGATCCAAAGCCCTCCTCTGGCCTTCAAGGGCACCCCCCGCCCCATGGCGCGCGCGCGCGCGCACACACACACACACACACACACACACACACAATACATGTGCATATAAAAAGGTTTAAAATTGGGGCTGAAGAGGTAGTTCAGTGGTTAAGAGCACTAGCTGCTCTTGCACAGGACCTGGGTTCAACTCCCAGCACACACAGAGCGGCTAACAACTGTCTATAAATCCAAATCCAGGGGATCCAACACCCTCTTCTGACATCCACAGGCACTGCATGACATGGGTACACTTACATACATGCAAGCAATACACTCATAAACACAATGTTACTTTTTTTTGGGTTGGGAGGGTCTCTTTTGAGATAGGGTCTCACTGTAGCCCCAGCTGGCCTGGAACTCACTATGTAGACCAGGGTGGCCTTGAACTCATAGAGATCCACCAGCCTCTGCCTTGAGTGCTGGGATTAAAGGTATGGGCCACCACACCTGGCCTAGAATGTTACTTTTACAATTAGAAAAATGTATAGTCAAGAATGGGGACAAAATACAATATAGTTTTTAAAAAAAGCAGGGGTGGGGGGATGGAAAGATGCTTCAGGGGTTAAGAGCTCTTGCAGAGGACCTAGATTCGATTCCCAGCACCCACATGGCAGCTAACAACCATCTATAATTCCAGCTCCAGGGAATCCATATTTTTCTTCTGACCTCCCCAGGCACTGCATGATACGGGTTTACTTATATACATCAGGCAATACACTCATACGCATAAGATAAAATAATAAATAGCATATATTTATAAAAAAAGAATGGAGACAAAAAGTCCATCTCAAGCCTCTTATTTTATATTTTAAAAATCTGATCATTTATCTCATGAAGAACATATAAAGAACTCTTACAATCAATAATTCAAAAAACAGGATTTGAATATACATTTTGCTTTAAATTATATACAATTGGCTATTAAACACAGTTACTGGAAAAACACAAATGAAAACCACAATGAAAAGCCATGTACCATCCATTAAGATGGCTATAATCAAAACATAGGTTAGCCTGCCGTGGTGGCGCATGCCTTTAATCCCAGCACTCGGGAGGCAGAGGCAGGCGGATCTCTGTGAGTTCAAGGCCAGCCTGGAGTACATAGTGAGTTCTAGGCCAACTGGGGCTACTGTCTCAAAAGATTTTTAAAAGTACTTTATACACACACACACACACACACACACACACACACACACACACACAAAGGTAAGAAGATATTGGTGAAGATGTGGAGAAATTAGACCCTTTGTATGCTGCTGGTGGGACTGCAAATGGTATAGCTACTATATAAGAGTTTGGTAGTTTTTCAAAATATTAAAGAATTATATGACCCAGTGATTTGAGATATCCTAGATAGATATCCAAGAGATTGAAAATAGATTTCTACATAAAACCTTGTATATATGAATGTTTATAGCAGGACTATTCAGAGTTGTCAAAAGTGGAAACCCAAATATCCATTAATTGATGGAAATAGTATATTCATACAGTGAAATATAATGTGGCTATAAAAGGGAATGAAGTACTATATATGAAACAATAAATCTTGAAAATGTTACAGTAAGTGAAAGAAGACAGTCAAAGGTAGGGCTGTTGGATTCCATTTAAATGAAATGTCCAGAGTAAGCAAAGCTATAGACAAAGAAAGCTGATCAACTGCTCATGGCTGGAGGTCTGCAGGTGAAGAGGAATGCTATTAATGGGTATAGGATTTCATTCCAGGTTAATCAAAACGTTCTGAAATTTAATGCTAAAAACTAATACCATATACTTTGGTGAATTTTATGGTAGGAGATTGTATCTCGAAAAAGCTGAGCACTGATAATTATGCCCACTCAGGGCTATACATTCAATTTTCTTCCTTTAAAAATCTCTTAAACTGGGATATGGCTCAGCTGTAGAGCACCTGTCTCATCCAAACAAGGGCCCGAGTTCAATCCCCAGCATGAAACACATACATATACCAATCCATTCTCTCGAAAGGTTGACTGCATTTACACTGTGGTATTATTTATTTGCTCTAGTGCTTATAAAGCAGACAATATCTATATGTGGACATGAATATCTGTTTAAACTTTTACTAGTCACTTTCCTGGGTCATGCACAATGTGGACGTGTTACACTAAACAAGTTCCTAGTCCTAATGACTTTTCCACTTACAACCCCAAGAGGAAATTATTGGCTTTACTTTGGTACAAGTTACTTATACTGAGTGACTTTATACCTACATAAATATTAGAAAGCAATTTAAGTGGGTTTCAATCAGATCAATTTCTTCTTTCTATTTATACATATGGGCACACATGCCACAGCATGTTTGTGGAGGTCAGAGGACAATTTTCTGGGGTTGGTTCTCTCCCTCCACCATGTTGTTTCCGGTATTGAATGGAGGTTGTTAGGCTTGACAGCAAGCACTCTTACCTGCTGAGCCACCTCTCTGGCCCATCAATCATATAAATGAAAAAAAAAAAAAATGGGGTTGTGTGTGCTTATATATCCAGCATTCAAATACCCCTTCATCCGGGCTACAGAGATGGCTCAGTGGTTAAGAGCACTGATTGCTCTTGCAGAGGACCTGGTTCAATTCCCAGCAACTACATGGGGGTTAACAACCATCTGTAATTCCAGTTCCAGGGGATCCATCACCCTCTTCTGACGTCTGCAGTCACTGTACGACATAGGTACACTCACACACATGCAGAAATATACTCATACACAGAAAATAAATACAACATTTAAAAAAATACTCCCCCCCCAACCTACAAATGCTCCTTTATCCAATCAAGCAGCATGTCTCCATGGTTTTCACAACCCTCTAGCCTTATACTCTAATTATTATTTAATTCCCTTGTATATACAATATACACCTTCAAAATGTCAGTTAATGACTTAGCCAAAGTTAAACTACTTCCTTGCATTACTTAAAAGCAATACTACAAACACCAACCAGAGTATCCTTAAGAACCTCGGTAGAACTACATACAGCTTGAAATCAAATCCCAGCCAACTGCAAAGGACTGAAATTCTAAGGCTCTTGGTTTCTGCCTACAGAGATGTTAAAAAAAAAAATAACTCGTTGCAGTCACATAATGGCGCATGCCTTTAATCCCAGCACTTGGGGAGGCAGAGGCAGGTGGATTTCTGTGAGTTCAAGGCTGTCTTGGTTTATACATTGAGCTCCAGGCTAGCCAGTGGTACACAGTGAGAGCCTGTCTCAAAACACAAAACATTTTGTTACACTTTTGTAAAGACTAAAAGTAATATATGAAATAATTTAGCTTTTAATCAGATATTGAGTAAATGGCATTTCTTACACTTATGATTTTAGCATCTACAGTAATTTTCAGCTACCAAAGTTCTATATTTGCAGTGAATTCATTTGCAGTTTCCTGAAAACTAAATCAGCAATATCACTTACATGGTTTCTTATATGCTTAAAACCTTTCTTCTTTCTTTTTTTAAGTTTAAAAGGAAAATAATTTCCTCTAAATCCTACAAAATTACCTACATGTCTCTAAATCCTACAAAATTAACTACAACATGCCTATCAATCTGGTCCAAGTCTAAAGAGCTGTGGGGGTTGGGGGAGCTGGTACTGGACTCAACCTGGGCTAGGGCCTTGTGCATACTAGGAACATACTCTACTACCACTGGGTTATATCCCAGTAATTTCAATGCTGTTAAAACTTATAATTACAGCTGGGCATGGTAGCACATGCCATTAGTCCCAGCACTCAGGAGGCAGAGGCAGGGGTAAGTTCAAAGCCAGCCTGGTTGACAGAGTAAGTTCCAGGCCAGCTGGGGCTACAGGAGGTCCTGTCTCAAAAAGAGAAAAAAGCCAAAAAACCTTATAATTTCCCATTACTAATATGTGTATTGAAGAAGATCCGAGACAATAAAGCCTTCAAAGTTTGGATGATATTACCAACTGCTTTCCAAAGAAGCTTAGTTCTAAAACTCAATGGTTTTAGAAACCAACAGTATCTCTAATAACACAGCTACAATTCACTTATCCTGAAAGACTTCTTTTGCTTCCTTCCTTCCTTCCTTTTTTTTTTTTTTTTTTTTTTTTTTTTTTTTAAAAAAAAAAAAAAAAAAAAAAAAAAAAAGAGGACGATAAATCTTTCACTGTGATATATCAAAATAA